TTTTAGAGTCCAAATTTTAGGTTATAACTCCGTTTTACGTCATAAAACTGATCAAATATTGCGGTGTTGCCATTGTTGAAGCTAGTTTTATTGGCAACACCGCATAAAGTACAAAACTCTATTTTTATCCTACAATATACCAATTTCAAAAATCAATTTTTTTGTTTCATATTACAATCTAATAATATATTTTTGATCTCAAATTGTTTTTTAAACACATTTGAACAAACTTTTTATTTTCCTGAATAAACTATGTAACTATGCAACTATGCAACGATTTGTTCAAGATGCAAATCACAATGTGCTTGTTTTGAAGTATTCCGATGACAACGCAAGATACTGTGCTATTAAATCGTTAATTATTGTTGCAAATGCGCTGTAAATACAAACGCATGTGAGAAAAACGCATTTACGCCAGTTGCAAGTGTTTAAAACGTTTTGCATGCATTCACCGCGCCAATTAGCGTCAAACAACGACCTGAACGCTGAGAATATATTCCAACCAACATAACAACATTTTTTCCTATTTCTATCAACCGGTTTGCATTCTATTTATATCCAACTACACAATCACATCCAACATTGTCAATTGTCACTGTAAAAGGTAAAACATAACTAGAAATGTAAGCAAGAAGGAAGAGGAAATGTGAGTCTTCCTGTTCCATCACAACCTGCAACCTGCAACTTTTGAAGATGAGAAATAGAAGTAGGTATGACACATTAGGAAAAAATGTAATAGCAAGTTTAATGCTTTTTCCTGTTTAGCCGAAGTAAATTATATCCTAGGTCATGACTAAAATAACTATGTACGTGCGATGCAAAACATTTTTGTGGAAATTTGAAAGTTTGGATATTCTCCGCAAGTATTTGTTGTTGTGCCGCGGCGTGGCGTACACGTCAGCCGACGAGATGCACCCGAAAGAGACTCATAATAGCGCCCGGCAGTCACTCAGAATGATTAATGGATTAGCGTTGCGGCGGGCCCCCTTGTATACTTGCCGTCGAACGACCTCGACGGCATCGACGCCGACGCCAAAAACTTGGACGGAAAATGCACGCCACTGGAACATCTCATCTGCGAGAGAGTAAAAGTGTCAAATCGTGAAATTTAACCAGCAGTGTGCAAACCACAACAATTTTACATAAATTTTATTTTTTGTGTTACTTTTAAGCAAAGAAAAATTATAAAAATTATTTGACAGGTAATGTTGTGCTTAGATATGTTGAATATGTTGGATGGACGGATGTTTGCTTCGTCTCTGCGCACACTGCACACGGCTGTCTCTCCCTTTAATTAATCCGAACGGGGGGAAACCGTCATAAATCAATCTGTAGCCGCAAGGTGACGGCGTCATCATATCGACATCATTGACCTGCCCTTCGGAGTAAACTTTTTTCCTCAACGCTGCTCCCAGGCTCCGAGTTGACGTGAGCACGATGTTGCGACATTTCGTCGACAGACGCTTCGACCAACGCAAGGATTATTAATTTATTAATTAAAATATTACACCAGAAGACACACAACATGCTACGAGAATTCCATCGAGAATATTATTTTATACAGTTAGGCAACACACCAGGCGCATCCACCATCTTCTAATTTTTATTGTTCTGGTTTATTTTTCGTTTAAGTTTCGCTTGTGAGTAAAAATTAATCGTCGTGCAGCGCACAAAGAGGCGTGCTGAATAAAACGTGCACGGTTTGAAGACGCGTGTTCTGGGTATCGAGCGAGAGTAACTAATTGAGCAATAAGTTACCTGCGGATGAGTTTCGAATAGGGCGCAACTCAAGACCGAGATAAATTTCGTGTGATTTTTCAACGTGCATACGCAATCGCTCAAATCATTCGTGTTCAACATGCTTTTAAAAACCCAACCACGTATATTCTAATTCTAAGTGAATTTTGAGGTTGTTTTAATTTAATCTTGATTTTTTGGTGTGAAAAAAATCATTTTTGAAACGATGTCCTGTTCACATGATTTATATTATAATTTTATTCATGCCGCGCGTAAAATTTCAAGTTGAACATACCGTTATGCTAACACAAAAAAAACTAAATTAAAAAATAAAAGAATTACGCTATGCGCACGAATGAAAAATGAAAAAGATGCATTCCCACGACATCTGTCCGTCTGATGTGCGCGCCTATACCTAGTCGACGTAATTAACTCTTATAATAATAATAAAAGTTGAGACGCTGAAACAAAACGAAAAACAGCCGTTGCGGGTCTTTTTATATTAAATATAAAAATGGAATAAGACTTGATTCTCATGTAAAGTTGTCATCAAGCAAACCTAGTAGTACAGAAGACTGAAAAACACAATGATAATTTTTGGGAAATCCTCATGGCGAACGATTAAGATATTGTTCTTTTCTTCTATGACTTAGTAGTCACACAGAATGAATAAAAATGTATGTGCTTTAATGAAATATCTCGCGAACAAAACGAAACAACATTCCGTTGTAACCAGTGTGATTCTCAGCTTGAGATAAAACAGAAATCTGCAAAGAATTGTGAAATACAGTAGTCACTTTGTTTAAATTTTTATTTTTTTATTTTTTTATGCTGCAAAATTGAATTAAAATGTAATTATTTTCTATAATCCACAATAAAACACAGCATTATGTAAGCGCTGGAAATAATTTTTGAAGAAACACGAACGTTTAGAAACATTACTTCAAACAAATTACTGAAGACCAAGTCACGATTCGAAGGCATTAAGGTTTCGGTACGAAATCGAGCCGTAGACGATCAATCAATGCATCGACCGCCCGCCCCTCAAAAGAAAAACCGAACGCGCGTAACGGGGCGCCCATTGTAAATAATTACACGCCAATATAACGAATTTTATACCTGAACGAGCGCGCACAATGGAATTACACACATGTGTAATATCAGCGCAGAACAATGAAAAATCGCTGGGTAAACTGAGCGGATTAAGAAAATTCAAAAACACATTTTCTTTCGATTAATATTCACGCGTATAATAACAAACAAACCCGTTGAGTTATTTAATCAATTGATGACAATCGAAATGATTTATCACTACAATGACAGATTTGAATCATTTATCCGTCTACGACTGGACAACTGGAGTAGTTATTAACTGATTTAGTGAGTGGCGGTGTTTTCGGTTGAATTCAGTTTGCAAAGCACGTCGATGGTACGCACGTTTGCGCCCCCGACAGATTATTATACGACACAGTGGAGTTAGCACTGTTTGCACATGTAAGAGCATCACTTCTCCGCGTTTTATGTGTGCTGTGGGGACACATTCCGATAAACTCGCGCCCCGCCGCGTCCACACACGTCCACCCCGGGTCGGAATCCACAGGTCTTCGCACAACCCATTGAGCGCATTGCATTCAAACCACTTCGGATCAGATTTATTCCTTTCCCGGCAACTTGTTGTGTCCGCTATATTTCTTTTACGAGGGAGACTGTGTTAACATATGCTTTTTGCATCGCTACAATCTGTTGCCAATTGATTTATGAATTTTACTTCAAAACAAAAAAAAATATATTTAAAAATTTTAAAGATAAATATTTTAATAAAAATGGGTCTCAGATCACGTGTGAGTAGCTTGATGATGTCGCAATCGACGTTTACATACGCTAACACGGTGTTCACAGCACGCTGGCGCAGCAGGAGTGAACAGCAGGGTGTCCCCGAACTCGTGCCGACGGCACGTCGGTGAATTATTGCCCGCCGACGATTCTTAAGCGATGACTGCAACCCTCACACTACTTTTACGTTTACAGTGTCTTAACTTGCACCAGAGATCTTCTAATCTAACGATGCTAACTTCTAATAGAATTACGGTTTGTTAACGCGCGGCAACTCGGCGGTATCTGATACAATTAACGTCAAGAATTAACTCAAACTAATCGTATGGTAAAAAGCCGCCACAACTGCTTCAAATTGATAGATAGAGAAATTGCCAAGTTAAGACATCAATTAAATGCTCCAATGGAATTTTGGTAAGGTGATATACAAATTGTTTTAACCAGTTACTGAGTAATGTTGTAATTGTAGTCGTAAGCCACAATTAATCGTAGTTTTAGAACCGTCGAAATGTTTGCATGTTTCCGCAGAGAACCCAGATCGGTGGGAAGTGATGAAGGGGTGAAGATGAGGGTGGAGTGATGGAGTTGATGAAGCGCGATCTCGAGATACCAAAGGATATAAATGTAGTGGTACAGGGTGAGCCACAAATTTACCGAAAAGTTAAATGACTTTATTTAGCTTTATCGTGCGAGTTAAAACACGAAATACACAAAATTAGGATGAAAATTTTGGTCGTTTTACGAGCGCGCCAATGAGTCGAGAGTAACTGCACCGGCAGGAGCAAGGAGCGCGGACCCCTCTCGAGTTGCGCGAAATTTATTATCGCTTTTTATGACTTGATAAGTGCGGTCTTTAACAGCGATTATTTTATGTCAGAATTTATCAATTTGTGCACGCTGGGATTCTCTTTACCTTTGGAGATATTTGAAATTTTTTAACTTCGCCAATTTCGTGTTTTTCTAATTTTTATTTTGTTGGCGCAGCGCCAAGGTCTGACGGTTTTGAGAAGGCTCGGTGGCACGGAGTAATTTAATGAAAAAGAAGAAAAAAACAACTCAGGATAATACGCGATGCGTGCAGCGGTGTCACCGCCTCCTTTCCTTCTCGGTGCGCTCGGCCTGGTCGCCAGTCGTCGATAAATGTTGAACAGGCACGAAATTATCGAAGGCAGCGCTTCGTGTTTTCATGCTTCGCGATGCCGTTGTTGCACGATGGATGCGGCATTGTCATCGCATGATAGAGCGCAGTAAACTTTTAATGTCCTTTGCAATCGTATTATACTCGTCAGGTATTATACTCGCCCAGAAGACATTTTCAAGAAAATATCGGATTTAAATTTGTATCAAAAAGAGAACATTCTGAGTCTCCTAGAGTTGTAACCATTTCTAAGTCTAAATTTTGTGTTTTTAAGGGGAGTTTGGGTGCTTACCTTGTTGACTATTCTTCCTAGTAGTTTTCTTCTCCTTCATCCACGGATACTCAGGCACATTAACGCCGGGCGAGCCAAGCCCATGCGGTACATCCATAGGATAACCGGCGGGTGGCGTATGCTGCGGACTCATAGCCGCATGCTGAAGATCAGCCCCGGCGGAAGCTAGATGTGGCAGCGCCGTCATGAATTCGGCCATCGACGGCTGGCTGTTGATGAAGCCCGTTTCATTGCAACCGTCCAGTGGATGGGCGGCCGGATGGGGCGCGCCGGTGGCCGACAGCCAGAAGCCGCCGCCGGCCACCGGACCATCAGGCGTCGTCGAACGCGTCTTGACCACAACGAAGTCGTCCTCCTCCAAGTGTCCGGCTGGCATCCGGACGGCGTTCACCGACACCACACTCCCTTAACGCACGAAAAAATGACGGCTACAATCCGCACAACCGTCACGAGAACATTTAAATGTATCAACTGTAAGTTGGAGAATAATCCATCAATCTCTTAGAATCTTTTAATTTCAAAGATTTCAACCTAGGTTGAAGTATTTTATGATGATGGTGATGAACACACTTTGTTGGAATTCGGAGTTTCGCGAGTTGATTTTGACAGTTTCACAGTGCGATTCGGTCGTTCGCGTCACTAACTAAAGAAAGGGTTGGCCGTCCAGCGTGATATCCGCAACGCGCACGTCCAGAGTCAACCCGCCAACAACCTGCCATGTAACTCGCGAGGGTCCCGTAGTTGTCAATCCATAAGCACAGTAAAATCGCACTAAAAATTCAATTGTATCACACTGATCAAGTTCACTTTCCATGCAATTTCACAGCTTGGGCTTCTCTGGCGTCCCGAAACACGTCGCGCGTGAGGAGCACCCGACACCAGGACGAGACGTCGACGACGTGCGCCAGAAATAGGAAACGATTGTTACGTGCAAGTCGGTTGGTAGTTACTGTTCGGAACGGCCGCGTTGTTTTTGTTTCTTTCCCATTGAAGAGGATGATGGCCGGTCACGTGAGCGCACCGCTCGCTCCAATGACGGTCACACGCCGCTCCGGCGCAGAGGCGGTGGGAAGGCACCGGAGGCGGAACCCGAGTCGGCGCGGCGCACCAAACGGGCGGCCCAAACTTCGCTTCTTCCTCTCCGCGGCCCGCGGCCCGACCGGTCGCGCGCAGTAATTATAATGCCCACGAAACCCACACCGCTGCTTCAACTCCGGTGGATGGATTTCGAAAAATATGGAAAACTATGCGGGTCTCTTTTCAATTTGCGCACGGTGCTCGCATGTCGGAACGCGGGTTTGCTCCTCGTCGCACTTGTGTGATTTTGATCAAGAATTTATTTTATCGAGGATACGTGTGTGCTCGTTGCCAACGACGACCGCGCAAACTTTGCACTATAGTGACGTGGTGGAATTTACGCGAGCGGCTTGCCAAAGCAAATCACAGCGAATTTCAAAATTTTCTTTCTACAACGATTTCTATTTAAATTTGGCATCATGCTGTGTTTTGAGATGTACACGCGTCGAGCACCCCGCTTCTAATGCAGTGCTAGTGCAACCGATGCGCCGTTAAATACCGTAACGCAGGGGAGACACTGCCGCCGCCGTCCCCGCCTCCATCAAACCATCATATCAAGGACACTCAATCTTAAACTTAGAAATTTTATTTCTTTGCAAGCGAAAAAAGTAAAAGTTATGAAAAAGTTGATGATCATGATGACTCTGTATATTTGATGTGTTCTGCCCCCACAAACACCTTTTAATTGCCCAGATTCCCCATTCACACCTTGAACGCACCGCGGCTTCTGTAGCATCGGAATGAATCTTAGCGGAGGTCTGGGGAAGTAAGTCAGTAAGTAAGCAATACTCGCCGGCAGCGCTGGTGGGTTCTGTATCCTATTGAATCGTTCATTGATCCATCATCACCGGCAGTGCGCGGACTGCGCAGCACAAAACCGAAAATTGCCAGTCATTCGGATTGAAAAGGGGGCTTTTGCTCTTTTGGTGCACTCTTTGAGGACTTTCCACCGCGCCTACTGCCCCGAGATCAGCATAAACCTCCAGCAAAACGAATTAATTACGACAATAACGCCCCGGCGTTCAATAAATCGATCTGCGCGCACAAACTGTGCACTCGTAAACCCTTCACGAATGCAAATCTCCATTCAATCGACATGTGGTCAGCAGACCACCAAGTCTAGCACAGCAAAAGATCATGACTTGATGTTTGGTGTCTTTTGTGGGCTGGTTCTGCGGTTGCTGGACTATGAACAGTTACTAACGGTTATAGTTTATTGTCTTGACGTTTCCGCAAATATGCAAATATGTCCACTGCACAAATTGTCAACATATTGTGGCCGCATGAAACGCACCCGCATTGTACCATGAGCTGACCGTAAGTGGAAGTAATTGTAGTGCATGGCTGGAAGTCAAGTGCTTCACCAGCCCGAAAGAGCCGAAAAGAGCGCGGCGAGGCCTGAAAGGGCCGAAGGGTTGACTCATTTCCTGACCAAAACGGACTTGATTAATGATGTCTAATAACAAGCCCAAAGGCGGCGTGGACTAGGTCTGTCCCTTGAGTATGCTCCGTTCGAAATGTGTGTAGTCGCGTCAAAACGCCGAAAACCACAAGAGCCGCGATTATTACAAACACGCTCGGCGTGTCGACAAGGATTGGCCCTTGTTTACATCGATTTGCATCGAGATTGAGTGTGGACAAACAAATTTTTATCGGTTTGCATTGGAAATGATTTAGGAATTGATTTATCCTTGAGATTTTTTCACGGTCAGTTCCGAGTTCATTTTTCAGTAAATTAGCAGTTAATGACTTGATGCTTGTCCTTTCAACTCATGATGCACAAGGCATTCAGTATTGTGGCGCTGATGCGCGCTCATTTTGCTTCGTTTTAGGTGCGTTTTATTCCTTAATTCCTTCATTTCTTCGTTCATTATTACCGATGCGCTGATGGTCTTGTTCGTTCACCGGGCTTCTTAATGCCGTTTCTTTCATTTCGGCGTGCGCCGCGCTTGCTGTTCTCTGGCGTTTCTTTTAAAGATCATCACTTCGTTTGTACCTTTTTAATGATTCCTTCTGCGAGGAGTCAGTCATTCGGAGTCCTTCTCGTTGCGCGGTTCTTGAATGCACTTTCTGCGCACGCAAAATTTGCCAAACTAAAAAAAAAACAGTATTCTCACCGTGGAGAAGGTGATACATCTTCATCGATCATCAATCGATTAAAATCACAATCGTCTGAAACGTGCAATGTTTACAAGTTGTGAGAACAGTGGGGTCATCCGAATGTGTAGAGTGATTCCTACAAATCAGTTACAACGTTATCCATCTAAACCCAATTGTGACAGAATTATGATCGAGCTGTAACGGAACTACAGGAAGGTACAGGAGCTGTAAAAAGGTGACCCACATTTGAAATATTTGCATGCATGCAGAGGAGTGAAAGTTGACGCAGCAAAACGCCGAAAACTGGCCAAAGATTTACCTACACAAAGTGGGCTCGCCATGCCCCAGAGCGAGCAGTGAACAACCGAGGACACGATACATGATGGATTATCCTTGACTGACTGATGTTTGTGTAATTCAATGTGACGCTAATACTATTACATCCATGATACACCAAACAAACGTAGAGTTTGCATTTTTAATTTCATAAAAACCTTTAAATTAAAATTTTCTAAACTTGTTAAAAGCTCTGAAAGTCTGAAAGTGGAATTTAAATTTTGAAAGACCGGAACGCGCAAGTTGAAATTGGATTGACGTAACGTAAATATCTTAATTGGATATTCAGATATTCACTTTAGATTAATAAAACACAATTTAAACTTTACACCAGCACGGCTTTCGTGCGAAGCTTCACTCCGCTGTGAGTGAGCAGTGGTGGTGTGTTGTGTGTTGTGCGGAAAACATTGGCAAAGTTGGTGCGTATAACTTCCCCGAGCTGCCATGCCATACCAAGGGTGCAGATTTACAAAATTCAGTTACTCTCCAACGCACCGCATTGATATTATTATAGATTCCGGATTGATATTCCTGCGGATATTCAAATTTGGAACAAAGTCCTAAACTTTTAAGCACAAAAAAAATTAATAAAGTTTTTTTACGGTAAAATAATTTACGTGCAGTGGCCTAGGGGTTGTATGGTCAGGACTTTTGGACCTTTTACTTTCAGTTCACTTTCGGTTTCTTTTTTTGCGGAGTTTTGCATACTAGGAACCTATTTGGCGGTGATTCTAAGGTAAGACACGGCGACGTCTGTCCGGTGGTCACTTCGCCCTTATTATTCGGACCCTCAGCGGGCTGAGTGTAGACAATCGATCAATTGTCTCTTCCACTCCCCTTAGTCACTTGCCGGTAGTGCTAATACTTTATGCATAGACTTATTCTTCTTCGTATTGTTACTCCCCAGACGGTAGGAAAGTTCAGTCACTTAATTCGCAAAATAAAATATAAAGTCACAACAATTTACAAAAACTTTATTTTCTTCTAAAATGTTATTCCCTGGTACTTTGTTATTTACTCAGTTAAAATTCTAATTTGTTTAAAGTTAAAATCATCAATCCTGATTGGTTTTGTCCATTTTGTTCGCTTGTCCAAGTTTAATTGGAGGTAGAAATTGGTCAACGGTTCATCTGGAACCTGAGAAGCAATTTCGGAACGGGAGTGACCGAATGACTGAAATGAATGTGCTCTTCGCCGACGACTTTAAAAACTCGAACCCATCGCTTCCAATCGTCTCCAAACATTAATCAAACAAATTCTGGACACGCCTAGGACAAACAAGCTGCATACAGATATAAATAAATTAAATAAACTTCAAGGTATTAAATTAAATTTAAGAAACAAAAAATTCTTTACAAATTATTCAATTAGTGTTAATGTAGTACAACACAACATGCTCTTTTGAGTTGTTGAGTTGAAATGTTTGACTATAGACTATTCAGTCGAGTTTTCGAGTCGAGTCAAAACTGAAAACAACCCGCCACTCTTTCATCGTTTAGAACACTGGCGAGTACTCCACTTGTACAACACGTAATGTGTCCAGCCGGATGAGGATACACATTCATGCACTTGACTTGGCTGGACTACGCGGCAACTTTTGCGGGAGCGCACCACACGAAAGCTTTACAAAGTGAGTTTCGGGTTGCGGGCGTTCAGCGCCGAGGGAATATTAATGTCTTGGAGGACCGCGGTTCTTACCACCCTTAAAACCACCCTTTCCACGGACCTCTGACCAGCGCCATAGATCATCCCGCAGTACTGCGCGCGCCCCCAAAACGCTGGACTTTAGTTTCCACTCTGTACACACATGTATTATATGTTTTACGGACGCCCGAAGACCATTCCGGCATTGGACATTGGACATTGGTCATGCCCATGTGGAGATTACGACTCTCAACCAACTATAGAGAATAATTCTATTTCAGTAAATTACTATAACTTGAATTATTTCATAATAAACTCCACTGAATTTCTTTAACTTGCACGTATAAATTAAATTAACTACTGCTTCGGTGAGCAATTAAGTATTGCGAATCGGTTTGCGGTGTAGCAAGGAGGGTCGCGGAGTTTACCCCTATTCCGCCTGCGCGCGCGATATAAAAACGATTTAGAATGCTAAATTATGTTTGCGGGGATTTTTCTCAATTACGCATCCTTTCTTTGTGGGTAAAAGTTAAATTTACTGCAACTAGTCCCACGTTTAACGACAAAACTACAAAGCCGCAAAAAACAACACGTTGGAATAACGAACGAGCAATGAACGAGTTGTGGGAGAAAAACAAAAACGGAAAATAAATTATACTTAGTATTTTTCTTTCGGTTGGTTTTGTGTAAGAATTAAAAGCAACGCGCGCTGCAATACCGTATAGGAATTTAAATGGACGCGTCGCCGACAAAAAGGCGAAAAAGTGTTGGAACAACAAAGTAAAGTTAAACTTGGAAACGTTAAAAAGTGGAATTTTATGTAAATGCGTCCTTATGT